CCCCTCCCCAGTGCCCAGCACAGGGGGATGATCCCTGCCCTGCTCCTGCTGGCCACCCCAGTGCTGACCACAGCCAGGATGCTGGTGGCCTCTTGGCCACCTGGGCACACCCTGCCTCATAGCCAGCCCTGTTGCCCAACACCCCCAGGTCCTTTTCTCCCCCCTCACCCCCAAGGGCCCCGTACTGACCTGGCAGGGTCCGGGGTGGGTGTGGAGCGCCGGGGCCGCGCGATCTCCTCACCTGTGGCACAGGAGGGACAGCCCAGGGTGAGAGCTGCTCCCCCCACCCCAGCACTCCCCAGCCCACCCCCCAGCACAGCCCACGTCCCACCCCTGCAGCAGGGACCCTGGCACAGACAGGTCTGCTTAATGCAGGTGTTATTCCCGAGGAGAGCTGCACTGCTTCCGTAGGGCACCCCAAGGGTGCAGCCTTCTTTAAGGAGGTGCCCTCTTTTCTGCCAGGACACCTTTAAAGCAAAACTGACCTGCTGCCCTCCCTCCTTTTTCATTTCTTTTACCACCACCCCCTGCTGCAACGACTGCCCTTGGGGGCTGCAGGACATACTTACTGGATAAATTCCTTTTAATCGTCCCCTGGAATGAGAAACACAGGAGGTGAGTGGGATGCAGAGGGACAGGGGCCACCCGAGGAGGGACACGCCAGGAATTGCCCATCTAAGGGGACACTTAGTTCAGGTGGCTGCTAACACCCACCTGCTGGGCTGTGGTGGGAAATCCCACCTGCTCCCAGCACACAGGGAGCAGACAAAGCTCTGCCAAGAGGGCTTGGAGCCACGTGAAGCCATCTCCAGGCAGAGCAGGGCTGTCATCACAGCTGGCCTGACACAGAGGCCTCTGCCACCCTCACCCTGTTTGAGATGGCATCAACCCAGCCACCTCCTGGCTGGTGGGCTGCAGTGTGATCTGAGCCCAGGGACGTTTTTAGCAGTTTAAATCCCGGCCCTCACCACACAACCCACACCTCCCCTGGGCAGAAAGAGCTGCAATCCCTCCAGACGAGGCAGGAAGGGGGGAGGGGTGCATGGGGACCCCCCCACACCACAAACAGGGGCTCCAGGGGTGTGCAGGGATGCAGGTGAAGCCTGGAGGATGCTCATCACTGGGGTCACCTCTGCGCTGGTGGGGCAAGACAAGGTCCCACCACCCCCTGGGGTGACAGCAGAGCCCCAGCACCCTGCTCCCCTTCCCCTGAGCTGGCTGTGGAACCCCAGCACCCACTTGGGTGACCCCAGCAGCGACAGACCCCTCCCCAGCACCCCCATTCCCAGGGGGGAGGCAGTGGGTGCTCACCGGGCTGCGCCGCTGCGGCCAGCGAGAAGGAAGAGAGAAGAGACAACCTGGTCAGAGAGGGACAGGTCAGCACCCCGGACCCCCAGCACCCACACACCCCCCAGCACTCCAGGAGGGCTCCCCCTCCTTGTTCCCAAGGGATGAGTGGGGACAGCAGTGTCCAGAGAGGGACCCCAATGCCTGAGGAAGGGGTTGATTTCCCCAGCTGGGGCTCCAAAGGCCTGGGGAAGCCACCACCATCACACACCAGAGCCCACCAAGGGGCTTCTCTGCCTTCTCCTACCTGTCAGTGTGCAACCATGTACATAAACCACACCCAGGAAAAACTCTCCTTAGCCATCTTGCCCAAACCCACCAGCTTTTCCACCCAAACTACACCCCCAGACCATTCAAAACAAAAGCCCTGGTTTTAAATGCTGAGAGTTCAATCCAGGAAAAAAAAACAACCAAGCATCATATGCTTCCCAGAGCAGGAGGGTTTGTTACTGGCATTTCACATCCCAGCTGAAGAGCCATGCAGCCCAGGGACCATGCAACCCAGAGAGGACAGGGCTGTGAGAAAAAAAGGGAGATTAAAAAAAACCAAAACCTCTTACCGGACTTTTCCTCTAAAAGAAGGCAGGAAAAGAAGAGCAAAAAAGAAAATGAGAAGGTATTTTCTATAAGGGGATAAGACAGAAATAAAAGACCTGTGTTCTGAGCAGCAGCAGCAGGTGTAGAACTGTTCAATATCAAGCAGAGTCAGGTGTGCATCCAGCCCAAGGGAAGATCAGGGGGAGAAAGAGCACATGGGAATAAAACCCTGTACCCTTACAGCAAGGGGGGGTGGAGGATGTGCCCAATATAGACTTGGCCCTCTCAGTGAGTCCTCAGTGCTTTTCCCATCCCATTGTTAAGATGCTGCACTGTTCCCTCTCTCCTGCCAGGATGATGTCTCCTGCTTCATGTCTGTACGGGTCTGTGCAACCTGGTGGGGCCAACACTTTGAAAACCCAGATTGGATAATTACAGAATGATTTGGGTTGGAAAAGGCCTTTAAGACCAACCAGTCCAACCGTTCCCCCAGCCCTGCCCAGGCCACCCCTGCCCCATGTCCCTCAGCACCATCTACAGGGCTTGGAGACCCCTCTAGGGATGGGGACTCCCCCCCTGCTCTGGGCAGCCTGGGCCAGGGCCTGACAACCCTTGCCAGGAAGAAATTGTTCCTAATATCCAACCTAAACCTCCCCTGGCACAACTTGAGTCCATTTCCTCTTGTCCCATCCCTTGTCTTTGCAATAAACAAATTCTGGGAATTGTTTCCATCCCCTATCAACTTTACCCACCCACCTGGCAAATAATTGCCAGTCTCCAAGACTCCCCCTCTCCTTTTTGCTTGAATTCTTCTTGGTCAATGTTGAGGTTTAGGGTTTGATAGCCCCCCCACCCCTCCTTTTCCTGTGCTTCCCAAAGCAGCCAACTGCAGTTTCTCACCCATGACTGCTAACAGCCAGGAACTGCCATGTTTCAGCCCAAAAAAACATCCAGGAGGGGACATGACTAGAAGGGACCAAACTGAGGGGAAGCAGAGCCAGGCCAGAGGGACTCTGGGTTTCCCAGGACAGTGACTTTCATTAAAAGTAGCAACTTTGGGTTGGGAAGAAGAAATAAAAGCAGTGATTTCATTTCCTCTTCCTTGTTTCTTCTTTCTTCCTTGATTTTTGCCTGTTCATGCCCATGTTGGATTCATTCACACTTCAGACACAGGCTAATTATAAACCAGCAAAAGCTTCATCTGAGAAGACACTTTTAGCCCACACTGAAAGGCAAAAAAATCCAATCTTCTCGTGGCTGAACAGATTGGGATGAGACAACAGATCTTGACAAGCTTCAGGAAAACCAGTGGGTGATGGTATTTATACTGGGAGGAACTATGGAGGTAAGAGGTTCCCTTCCACTGACCCCAGATGAGAAATGTCCCTCTAACATCCCACAGGAGCAGTGTGGAAAAACCCTCAACATGCTTCCCATGTCCTGGGAAGCTGGGCAAGACCCACCTGATCTGTGTCCTGAGCGAGGATGACATGGAAAAATGAGAAAGAAAGGGGAAACGGGAGGGAAGAACACATTCTGATCTCTGCTTTATGAGCAGAAATGGGAATTTTAAAGATATTTTGGGCTGGAAACATCACCACAATGTATCTGAGTCACGTTGTTGCCTCTAGACAGATGGGGTGAATCAGGACACAAAGGCCAACTCAACTGTCAGGACCTAAGGAGGTGCCCCCGGCTCCCTCAGGCTGAGCCCAGGAGACCATCCCTACTTCTTCAAGCAAGGGAAGGGGCAGAAAAACCCAAGACTCACCACGGGGGAGGGAGAAAGTGCAATGTTGCCTATGGAGGCCTTCAGCTCGTCCACGGTGGCCGCGCTCTTCAGGACATCTTTGGCCTGCAAGGGCTTGATCTTGATGTTGAACTTCTTGTGCGCCTCCTCCTCCTCCTCCGACTCGCTGGAGGAGTAGAAGTGCTTTCCTTTGGTAGGTGGGGCTCAGTTAAAGAAGGTGTCCCTGCTGCAGCATCCAGAGGCTCAAACCCCCCTGAGAAGTAGGATCTGGGGGTTCCCAAAGAATTATTCCCAGCATCCAAGGGCAGGAGGAGCTGCCTTCCCATGGTGACCGCGCCGGCTCGTGGTCCATAGAGGGTCAGAGCTTTGCAGCAGCAACAAGGGGAGAAATCCTGCTTTTCCACTCTTCCTCCATCCAGCTGTCAGGAGGAAGCTTAAAACCCTCCCACAAAGCCAGTCCACCCTGCTGGGACCCTCACCCCTCCTCAGCTCACAGCAGGCAGCTCACTGAATCCATGAAGTCACCTTGTGCTCTGCTGCCCCAGGTACCTCCCTCTGGGAGCCAATTTGAGCCACAGAGCAACAGCTAAACATGAAAAGGGGGGAAGTAAATAATAAATAAGCTCAGCTCCCAGGCTGGTTGGGAACCCCTGCTCATCTTACAGTTTGTAAGCCAAGAGGGAAAGGCAACAATAAAGGATATAGCCTGGTTCCTCCGGTCGGATGCTGTATCCCTCCTCATCAAGCTCAGGGGAATTCTCAGCAGGCACCAAAAAAAAAAAAAAAAGCCCAGAAGAGTCAGGAATGTTGTTTCTGCTCCTGGAACACCTGAGCAGTTCTTCCCTGCTGCAGGGAGGGATGCCCAGGGTAGCCCCAGGCATCCCAAACCCGCTGGTGGCCCCTGGGGCTGCAAGTGGCCCCCCCACTGTGCCCTGGCCCAGGTCTGTACAACCTGATGGGCACACAGGTGCAAACCACACATCTGGGGACAACAAACACCTGGACATCCCCCACCGAAGGCCAAAAGGCTGCTGGAGCTGGGGGGAGGGGAGGCTCTGGGGGACACTCACGTATCTGTCCCAGTCGATCTCGGCGTAAAATCCATTGGGGGCTCCATTGGTTTTCTTCTGCAGCAGGTGGGAAACCACCATTGCCAGGTTTTGAAGCGAAGGGAACAAGAACACAGCAGATCTTTCACACTTCCGTACCCACGAGGGGACATACACATTGTGTCTGTATGGCTGGGGTGCTGCTGGGGGTGCAGGCACTGCAGAGAGCTGCTCTGCACAGGCACGTTGGCAACACACACCAGCATTCCCCGTTTCTGGAATGTCTTCCACATCAGACAACTGAAAGCCTTCCCCCCTCCCCCCCAGTTCCTTAGCTGAACATATGTATTAAGGAAAAGAGATGAAATGGGTGTTTCTGGGTGTGCCAGCCCCAGGGGGAGCTGGTGGCAGTGGGGGATCCCATGGGGCACAGGCAGCACCAATATCCACCAGGAGATAATCACCTTTCCTGGAACAGGCAAAAGGAGGTCTGGGTTTTGTTATTTGGTAGCCAAACCACAGGCCAGGGGTCAGTTCTTCACCCAGGCTGGGATCATCAAATCCCAGAGAGGTTTGCTTTGGGAAGGACCTTAAAAATCATCTAATTCCACACCCCCCTGCCACGGGCAGGGACACCTCCCACCAGCCCAGGCTGCTCCAAGCCCCATCCAACCTGCCCTTCAACACTGCCAGGGATGGGGCAGCCACAGCTTCCCTGGGCAACCTGGGCCAGGCTCTCACCACCCTCACAGCAAAGAACTTCCCAAGATTTCATCTAAATCTCCCTCTTCCAGCTGGAAACCCTTCCCCCTCATCCCATCCCTCCCTGCCCTTGTCCCAAGCCCCTCCCCAGCTTTCCTGGAGCCCCTTCAGGCACTGGAAGCTGCTCTCAGGTCTCCCTGGAGCCTTCTCTTCTCCAGGCTGAACACCCCAACTCTCCCAGCCTGGCTCCAGAGCTGCTCCAGCCCTCCCAGCATCTCTGTGGCCTCCTCTGGCCTCACTCCAAGGGAACACAGTATCAGTGCTTGCCACAACACACCAACAATACACACACACAGAGGTCATTGCTGCTTCAGACCCAGGGGGGCTGGTGTGGGGCAGACTTTGGGCACCCATCACCTACAGGACCATCTGCTGCTCCAGGCACCCAAACCCCACCCAAGGCTCCTGCTGGAATTGCTGGAAGGCCAGCACAGGGATCGAAGTCAGGCTCGATTCTCAGTTTGGGGGACACCTAAATGAGATAACCCAGTTCCCTGCAGCTGCAAAACACACCCCTCCACCCCACAGCACCCTGCCATGGGGCAATGCACCATCCCAGGGCTGGATGGGGCCCCCTTGCCCTCCCTGTGCCACCATCCTGCCCAAGAGCAGAGCCTGAGGGTGAAAAATCCAACTCCAGCTGCAATTCTGGGACATTCCTTTCCCCCCCAGACCATCTCCATTTAACCCCATTCCTGTTCAACTCACCCACACTGGGCTCAACCTAAATGGTGCTTTCCTAGACTCTGGATTTCAGCCCCTAAATGACTGTCAGCTTTTTTTTAAACACCCCTGTGGCAGCTGTAAAGCCAAGCTCTGTTTTCCTTACCCCATTTTTTTTGCCTCCTTCCCGGGCACTCTCGGGTTTGCTATTGCAAGGTGGCTCATTGGGCTGAGGGCTGGGAGGCTGGAAGGGGTCAGGGGTTGGCAGGAATAGGGGGAAAGGGTCAGGTGGGGTTTGATTGATTATCCATATATTTAAAGAGACAAAAAAATAAGTGAAAGAATTAGCAAATACACAGTTTTGTGAGAAAAGGAGGGCTCAGCCGTGGCTCCCTTAGGAGCAAGCAGGGTTTTTAGTGGGGGCAGGGAACTAGGCTCTATTCAGCAGACAGAGGGTTTGCCTCTTGGCCACTCCAGTGGCTGCAAATATTGTGGTGAGAACAGGTCATAGGAGATAAAGTTACACTAAATCCTCCAGTTCCCTCCCAAAAGTTTCAGTGCCTTCATCCCAGCTCCCCAGACTATTGCATTTCTGCACCTTCAGCTTGCTGGAGAGCTGGGAACCCTGCCCTGCTTAACAACCTGGAAAATCAAGAGGAGGAGCTGGGTTGAGAGGGCACCTGAGCTCACCATGGCCCCTACCTGGCAGGGAAGGCAAGAAAAGCCCTTCTGCCTGCAGAGGAAACAGCTCCAGGCTGCTCCTTGCCTTTGACTTATTCATTACTGCTGAGTAGAGCCGTGGTTAAAGCACTACCTGAGCTGCAAGCTCTGTTTTGTCTTTTAATCTCTATTTCTTAACAAGTGGCTTATGGATGCAGGGTGAGCCCAAAGCCAAGGATCTTGGGTCAGATGGGAAAATGAAAAATGAAATGAAAAGCAAACTCTCAGAAGGATTTTGCACCCTGGTTTTTCGTGTGGCTTCCAAAAAAAAAGACCCCCCAGCGCAGCTCTCCCTGCTGAGCCTCCCCAGAGTCTCCCATTTTTATTTTCAGGTGAGCTTCTAACACCTGAATTTGCTGAAGAAAACAGCACAGTCCCAGTCTGAACCCAACATGCTTATTTGCAAACTGGAAACCAAAGGGCTGAAGGAGAAGGGGTCAATCCCAGATCCAGCAGGAGCGTTTCTATCGAACGCCGTGAGTGAAAGCAGCAATAATTCCAAACCTGCTATCTCCTTGTTTTTCAGTTTAATATAGAAAAATAAAAATAGATCTTGGAAACAGCTGTCCTGGCAATTTTCCCTGAACTCCTCACACAGCAAATCTGACCCAAGCCAATTAGTGGGAGTGGAAAGGAGGATGAGGAGCTGGGGGGGGTTTAGCAGGACACCTGGTCCCTCTGCCCACAGCCCTCCTCAGAGCTTCCTGTATTGGTCTTGTTTTTGTAGAAAACCTGGGATAAGTCATTATTTCAAACAGGTAACTCCCTGCTGGCATTTCTTTTCTATATTAAACAGAAAGGAAGAGACAGTTGACAAGGCAGTGAGGGAGGGACTGGCAGGGGAGGGAGGGGGAGGCAGGAGGGGGCTGTGCTGTACTTACGATGCCGTCCCTGTCAGGAGACCCTCTGCAAAAGAGCAAAGAGAGGCAGTGGTGTTAGCTCCTGAGCAGCACCCTCACCTCACCAACCCAGGGGGCTGCTTTGTCTCCACGAGCCCACAGAGACAGTGCTTTGGATTTGGAAGTGGCCAGCAAAGCTGAGCTCCCTGCCCAGCTCACGCCTGGCGAAACCCACCCTGTGGGTCTCAGTGCTGTTGCTCTCCAGTTATGACATGACCAATGTTCTCCTGCTCAGTAAAGAAATGGCTCCTGTGGATGCTTGTGCTGTCCCCTGGCTCCTCCCTGCAGCCACCCCACAGCCCTGGCTCTGCACAGCCTTGCAGAAGGCAAAGCAAACAATCTATTGAGAAATGAGAGGTTTTCCTTCTGCCAGAAGCGCGGCCACTTCTCCTTGGATTGGAAGCTGCTGAGACTCCTGGAGGCTGCTAATCCCCCCCTGCCTCTGGGATTTGGATCTCAGCCACAGCACAAGGCAGGCCCAGCAGCCACCTTCAGATGCTGTCTAAGGATGCTCAGTTATTTACTGAAAAGCCAAACGTGCTGATGGAAGCCAGCCTGGCTGCTCTGCCTCCCGCCCGCTGCCCAGCTCTGCCTTGCCAGGGACCTGCTGCAGGTTCATGTCTGACTCAGGTCACCAGAGAAACCCTGCAGGGCCCTGCTGCCTGTTCCACTGACACTAACATCTTTGAACTTCATTAATTCATAGAACTGTTTTGGCTTAAGACCTTTAAGACCATCCAGTCCAACTGTTCCCCCAGCCCTGCCCAGGCCACCATTGCCCCATGTCCCTCAGCACCACATCTACAGGGCTTGGAGATCCCTCCAGGGATGGGGACTCTGCCCTGGGCAGCCTGGGCCAGGGCATGACAACCCTTTCCATGCAGAAATTGTTTCCAAGATCCAATCTAAACCTCCCCTGGAGGAACGTGAGGCTGTTTCCTCCTATCACTTGCTCTTGGGAGCAAAGACCAACCCTCCCCTTCAACTTCCTTTCAGGTGTCACACACACCTCCCATCTCTCTTATCTGGTGTTTCATCTCTTCACAGAAGATCACACTCCAAAGTCCTTTGGAAACAGAGATCCTCACTCCCCCCACAGGCAGGGAACATCACCTCCCATCCAAGTCCCCAAAGCCCAGCCTGAAGTGGCCACGGAGACCCTTGGCTGGTGAAGGAAAGACCTGGCAGGCTCTTGGCCCCACACTTCAGCTCTGGCACATCCCACATCTCCCCAGAACCCAGGCAGCACCTCCAGAGACCCCCCCCTGCAGTGCCCACTGCCCAGGCTGGGGGGGCCATGCCTAAGGGTGTCCATGGGGCCTGGGGGTGCCAACCAGGGGACCTGCAGGAGCACCCCCAGCTGCTCCTCCTGGCCCCACGGGATTGAGAGAGGACCCAAAGCCTCCTGGGGTGATGACCACGCTGTGACCCCGTGCTAATCACTGCTGCTTGCTAATTGCAGCCTCCCTCTCTCTCCCTGCCAGCTCGTTACCAGCATGAAGGCTCCAGGACTTGTTATCCGTGTTGTCTTCCCAGCCCTTGGAAGAGCAGGTGGCTGGGAACAAGCTTGGAAAGCTGGGTGCAGGCTGGAGGCAGGACCTTGGCTCTGCCCCCTTGGCTCTCCATGAGCAGAAAAGCAGGCTGCACAGCAATTTCTTGCTCATCCTTCCCATAAATTACAAAGGAGGCAGGAGCAGAAGCTCCTGGCCATCCCACAGCCTGGCTGGTGGATGGATGGACAGTCAACATTCCCCATGGGAAGTCCCCTCTGCCAGCAGGGTGCTGCACAGCCCTTCTTCTGGGAGATGCTTCATGACCCTTACGTAGTTTTGGATCACTTTTTGTAGCAGGCAAAGCCTCACAGGTGCTGGTGCAGCTGGGCTCACCATAGCCAACACGTGTCCCTTCCCATGGGAAACCTCACCAGCCACTGCTGAGATACAGAACAGCTCAGGAGAACAAATTGGACAAAGAAATCTCACACTGCTTCTGCTGGGAGCTTCTGGAAAGGCCAGGAGGATGCTGCAGGAGCATGGCTCCCCATCTCCTGTCCCATCCCTGGCACACTGGTGACACAGGCCCTTTGGGGACATCCCCCCAGAGCCACCCCAGGGGCAGCTGAGAGCCCTTCTCGGGCTGCTCTCAGCATCCCTGCACAGCATCCCCCACCAGATGTGGCTAAGAACTCCTGCCAGATGTGGGGAGGAGCTCCCACCAGATGTTTCTGCACCCCGAGCCTGCCCCAACCCCCCAGCCCTTCACTCCACCCACTCTCTTAATCGAATTTGCATCACAAAAGGTCTCTGCAGCCAGGCAGACCAGCAGCTTGGGCAGATTCATCTGCTGAAGCTCTCCCAGGAGCAATTTCCCTCCTGACCACCACTGGCTCTGGCTGTAAATTGCAGCCACGTGGAGAAGCACAGAATCATCACAGCTTCATTCTCTGCAGCACCACCCAGAAAGGACCTTCCCCAGCCACTGGGTGCACCAGTTTCTCGGCCCAAGGGTGACAAACACCCATGAGGCACCAGCTCCCTTCCTGTGCTGGCATCAGCTCCTCCCCAGCATCAGCAGCATCATCTGCTCCTGTGGTTTGTGTCTCCCTGACTCACGTGGAATCAGTGTCCTTCTCTTTCCTGCGTATCCCAAAGGCCTTCCTGGTCCGCTTCTTCAGTCCTGTGGGCAGCAAGAACAGAGGTTGGAATGCAAGATTAAGGTCTTCAGCTTCACATCAAGGCTCCAAAAGGTTCCTTATTCCCTTGCCAGCTGCCTTGTCCAACCTGATGCAGGAAACTGAAGAGCCAACCCCAAGCCACCACCAGCAGGGCCCCACAGCTCACACGTCCCTTTGCTTACACCTTTGATTTGTTCACTTCACACTCATTAACTTGATCCCAGCCTGTGTGATGACACATTTCCCAGCTAGTATTTCTAAGCTTAATTACAGGCTTCTCTGCAGTGCTACATGTGGGTATTAATGTCTGGAAGAGGAACCCCCTCTTTAGTGTAAAAAAGAAACTACAAACAACCAACCAACAACCCAACAGTTTAAACCATGCAGCTGGTTATTTAAAAAGGAAAACCAACCCCAAACCTGTTCAGGATTCAACAAAAACCCTCAAGCTTTGCCTCAAACTGTGCACTGAAAGAGCCAGGTCTCCTGTAGCTCCCCAGAAACCAGCCCTGGGCACCCCAAGAGCACAGGAGAGCTCATCCCAGAAGCCCTGGGCCCCAGCACAGTTCATTCCATTGATGCTTTTGGGGAAAGCTGGGTTCCTCTGGTCTGCCTCCTGCTTTGAACCTGCCCTTGAGTGGAAATGATTTCCCATTTTCCCAGGAACATCCTGCTCCTCTGGCCATGGACTGGAACAGGCCACCAGCACTACCAGTGCCAGATTTCTGCAGCACATCCAAAAATGCTGGATTTAAATGTTATCAAAAAATACAAGGGGATGCTTCAGGCTCTTGGTACCCCATGGTCAGGTTGGTTTGGGGCCAACACTAGGTCCAAGGCAGCCGTGGTGGCACCAAGAGAAGCTCCAGCAGCTCTCCTTGATGTTGCTGGTGGAGCTTTTAGGTTGGACACATCCCCCACAAAACAGGAAAGGAAGGAATTGCTCCTGAAGAGAAAATCACACTTCCCTTCTCCTCCTCCCACAGCAAGCATAGCATGACCAGGAATGAAGGGATCTTCTGGGGTGCCAGGAACTCCCAGCAGATGGGATCCATAGGTCTCCAGCTGCTGAGGGCAGCAGGGATGGCCAGGGTGATGCTGAACCCAACAGGCTCCTCCTGCCACCTGGCAGGGACAGCTCTGGGTCACTCCATGTCACCCTTCTGCTTCCCTACAACTGCTTAAGGCTCAAGGCAAGCAGAGCACGTCCACGTGGGGCACCAAGGGGTGGCTCAGAGCTGGGAGGAGCTGGAATCACTGCTCAGGGGATGTTCTCTCCAGCAGCACCTCGTGGGGATCACACCCCACCCAGTGATGATGTCCCTAACGGGGGAAGGTTCCTGTTCATCTCACCCCCTGGAACAACCTCATCCTCCCAACTCAAAGCAGAAGGAGGGCCAAAAAAAAACACCCCAGAAATGAATTGTTGTTCAGTTTCAGCTGAAGAAGGGCACGATTTGACTAAATTTTGTAGCAAAGCCTTCTGCTCAGTTATGTAATGGTCCCACCATCTGCTTGAAATGGCAACTGCTGAAGGGAGAAAGGGATAACTCAGAGAGGCAGGAAGGCTGTGCCTCAGGAAGGGGCAGGGGGGAAGGCTGCCTTCCCACCAGCAGCAGCTGCAAGAGCTGCACCACAAAGCCAGCCTTGCCCACAGAGGACAAACACAGGGGAAGCCACCAGCCCTTCCAAGGTGCTACAGCTTCACATGCAATTAGTCCTCATCATTAATCACAGAGTGGCTGGGCTGTGAAGGGACCTTAAAGACCATCCAGTCCCAAACCCCTGCATGGGCAGGGATACCTCCCACCAGCCCAGGCTGCTCCAAGCCCCATCCAACCTGCCCTTCAACACTGCCAGGGATGGGGCAGTCACAGCTTCCCTGGGCAACCTGGGCCAGGGTCTCATCACCCTCACAGCAAAGAATTTCTCCCTCACATCTCATCTCCACCTCCCCATCTTCAGCTTGAATCCATTCTCCCTCATCCCATCCCTCCCTGCCCTTGTCCCAAGCCCCTCCCTAGCTTTCCTGGAGCCCCTTCAGGCACTGGAAGGTGCTCTAAGCTCTCCCTGGAGCCTTCTTTTCTCCATAGGACCCCTGTGTCCATAGGACACCAAGCCAAAATGGTTCCAGTGCTCTTACTGACCTGAGGAGCCACAAGCCAAGGCTGAAGCATTGTTTGCTAGGTTCTCATTTCAACCACAAAATGGCTCCAGCTCAGGGCCATTATTCATCTTCCATTTACTATGATCTTTGCCCACTCCCCCCCAGATATTTAGGAATTAGCATCTGAGAAAGATGAATCAGTATTTAACACTGTGAAACTTTCCATATTCTATTCTTCAGAACTAACATCTAATTATTAGCTCAGCTTAGCATGAAGATAAACATTATTTATTGCCAAGGTGGAGACTCGTGGCCAAAGTCCCTTTGGGGAAGGGGCAAGAAGGGGATGAAATAGGGGGAAAATAAGGAATAATCACTATGAGGTCTGGTTTTTCTTTGGGTTTTTTTTGGCACAGAGCAACTCCCTTTCCCCACTCCACACAGACCAGCACAGGCTCTCACTGAATTGCTGTGTTGTGTCCCAAGAGGTGGGAACCTGCTGCTGCCTCATGGCCAAAGGACTTTGTGTTTCCCTTTGGCTTGTTCTACTGAGGAAAAAAGAAATAATAATGATCATCCTCACGTTGCTCAGCAAAACAAAACCAGAAGCAAGATAAACTATTTGAGTTCTGAGTCATATCCAGAGGAAGAAGGCAAAGAGCAAATTCAAGTTGAAGGGAGGGTGGAAGCACATCAAGCTCCAGATAAATCACTGAGCAGCAGCATCTCCAACACTCTCTGCACCTCAGCCTAGAAGTTCCTGCCCATCTTTGACAGGAAAATGGGCACCTTAGGGCCCCTGCAGAGCCAGGGGCTCCCAGCAGCCCCAGGAGCAGAGGAGCCAGGGCTCAGGAACCCCACTGCTGCAGTCCTGCTGATCCTGGGCTTTGCCCACCTCCTCTGTAATGAAATGAACACACATCTTCAAAGCCTTCAACGTGCTCTCCCTGAACCAGCCTCTGCATTCAAGCTCCTCCCCAGCCATTCAGCAGCTGGTGAGGAGCCAAAACCCCTTCCTTCTGCTGCCTCCACACAGTCCTGAATGTTTCAGCCACCTTCCTTCCCCAGTCTAACTGCAGATGTGACTCTGGAGAAGGGAGGCTGGATCAGCCACTGGTGGCAGCTCCTCCTGCAGGAACCTTGGCCAGGGCTTGCACCACCAGCCCCTCATCAGACAAGGTCTCCTGCTGCTTCCCCACCTGCCACAGTGTCACACCAGCCCCCAGCCACCATCCCATCCCACCCCAGCTCAGCACAGGCAGCAAACCACAGCCTCCACCATCACCTGCTCCCTCCCAGGATTTAACACGGTGCATCTCAGCTACTGCAGAGACCAAGTTTCAATCAAGGCTCTTTTTAACAAGTTTATCTTCACAGGCTTTGAAATGCTCTGCTTACCCCCTTGAGGAAACAACTTTACAACTTGTATCTACCTCAGGTTGACTGTTCATCCCCCTGCCCTCAATTCCCAGGGCTCCTAGCAGGGCTGAATCCCACTATTTCACACTTACTGACAAGATTCTCTCCAGCTCCTCATCCCCAGCAAGCTGTGGGCTCACAGCTCCCCCACCCACCTGCTGGGACTGCCCTGCTCCAGCACTTGGTTCCACCAGCCAAGATGTCCCACGACCACAGCTCCCAGGGAACACACAATGAAGACACTCCTACCATCTCACCACAAAACAAAACCAACCCCAAACCCAAAGCAACACCTGCCTTTCAGCTCAACTCCTCTTGTATTAAAAAAAACCAAAACAAGATAACCCAGAACTTCATTCCCAAGAGAAACCTGCCCTGAGGCCAGGTCAGAACATTCTGCTTCAGATCTTCTACAACCACCACCCCTGAATCCCTGATGAAGGTGCCAGGGCAGCCCTGGGCACAGGAGTTTTTATCTCAGCTCACAGAACCATCAAATCACAGGTTGGTTTGGGTTGGAAGGGACTTTTAAGACTATCTAGTCCCAGGCAATCCCCTGCCATGGCAGGGATGGAAACCACCCCTCTCCACTGGAGGAAGAGGCCAGCACCAAGCCCCTGGAGATGGGGCCAAGGGGCAGCTGAGCTTCCCAGCAGGAACACCAGCCCCCAGGGGGATGCATGTTTGACCTGGGAACAAGCCTTGGCTTCTAATGAGGTTTACCTCAAATCCAAGATTTGTTGATGGTGATATGGCTTGATGTGTGACTGGTGGGGGGTCTAGAAACCACCTGCTCCCCAGCAGAAGGACTAGGCTTGGTGCTCTGCCTGCTCAAGCACATTCTGCACTTTAACCAGTCAGGAAACTTAGCTGGGCTTTTTTTTCTTCCCTGAAATTTCCCTGGAAAAGCCCTTCAGAAAAGCTGAAGGAGTCACCCTGATTTGTTTTGCTATCTCAAAATACTTGAAAAGCCATTTGAAAATCCAGAGTTGCTGCCCCTCCTGGAGGTGCTGGGTGCCCATCCAGCTCTGCCCAGGGGCTGCAGGATCTCACCCTACTTCATCTTTCATCCCAGGAAACCAAGAGCTGACAGCAAAGCCCCACAGACAGGTGGTGCAGCCTCCCACATGGTGACAGCAGTTCCTCCCTGTTAGAAAATGGGGAAAAGTAATTAAAAAAATAGAGGAGAAAGGGTTGGTGGCCTCAACTGCCCCTTCTGTTGCTCTCTGCTGGAGCAGAACACTATTGGCTTCTTGCCTGGGGCTTTCAGGGAAGGAGAGACTTGGAAACAGAAGTGAGCAACAAGTGATTTGGAGCTGGTTTGGGTACTGTGTTGGGGTTTGTTTTTTTTTTAATAGAAATAAATGCTGAGAAGTTTGCTCCTTAGAAATTTCACTTGGAAGGCACTGAAGGACTAAGTGTTTGAGAGCCTGAAACAAGTTGGGCTTGACCATCATAGAATCACAGTGTCTTGGGTTGGAAGGGACCTCTAAAGGTCACCTAGTCCAACCTCCCTACAAGAAGCAGGGACATCTCACACTGGAACAGGTTGCTCAGGGTCCCATCAAGCCTGGCCTTGAATGTCTCCAGGGATGAGGCCCCCACCACCTCCCTCAGCAACCTGTTCCAGGGATCCATCCCCCTCATAGTAAAGAACTTTTTCCTGACATCCAACCTAAATCTCCCCTTTTTCTAGCCTAAAACCATTGCCCCTTGTCCTACAGTTGCACGCTCTGGTGAGCAGAAAGGTCTCTTCCCACCAAGATGGTTCTATGAGATCACAAGGAATCTGCATCAAAAAGCACATGGCAAGTTACTGCTCTGGGATCAGCTTCTCCTGCAGCAGCACTGGGCAGTCCTGGCCCAGGGCCTCAGGCCCTACAAGCAGTGCTGGCTGGAGATGTGACACACATCACCTTTCACTGGAGGGTCCAGCCACGGTGCTCCTGCTTCTCACCAGGGAGATCAAAGGACATGCCAAGGAGGAGCTGAGAGGTGGCAACAGAGCTGGGCTCAGTCCTGCTCAGCTGCTGCCACCGACCCCAGCACCCAGGGCTCCTGGAGCCACCCCAGAGCTGGCACACAGCTGATGGGAGGGCAACCAGGACAGCTGAAAGGCTGGAGAAGGAGGAGATGGGCACCTGCAGGAGCTTCAGCTACTCAGCACAGCACCAAAACCACCCCAGGGTCCAAGCCCCTTCCCCAGGGATGGACACGTGGGGATGGAGGGATCCCCCCTCGGAGGGCAGATGCAGCACAAGACCCTGTGGCTGATTCAGAAATGCAGCCACGTTTTCAACCACGAGGCTAATAAAGTCTCTGAACAGGTCAGGGTGAACTCTGCCTGAGGAGCTTCTGAATTAGCATCCATGCTAAAAATACATCCCTGCTCAGCGTGAAGAAGAACTCAGAGAAAGGCCCGTGGCCAAGTGGCCACCTCTGGGCTTGCAGCTGCTGACACAGGCAGCAAAGCCTGGGGACCCAGCCAGCAGCTAGAGGTTGTCCTAAAAATCAAGGGCAGCATCAGCA